TCAAATAAACCTCCCCAAAATGTCCCAATGGCAAAATTGATTACATTTATCTTTATTGTCTGTAAGTTAACTTTAGGCCTCCTTTGGGTTTTTTTGTAGTTTCAATGGGACCATGATCAATGTAGAATTGTTGGCCCTTTCCTCAGATACCCATGAGAAAGTTTTTACAATTTGGTTTAAAATTTGGTTGGACGGCTCATAAGGCTGGGAATTATTTGTCCTTCCCTTACCTTGCTACTTCTTTTGTTTATGTTTTTCTTTTCCTTTCCCCCTCTCCGACTTCTTCCTATTCTGATGTCCTCATCTTTCCTTTTCTCTTCTTTGCTAATGTTTATTTTTGTGTATTTTCAGAACCCCGGAAATAATAATATGCATACTGATTTTTAGTCTCTTTCCAAACTCCTATTTTACCATAAGGGATAATACGGACGGAGATCTGAGTTCTGGTCACTTTGGTTACCTCAAAAATTCATAAAGGTCTATGAGTTGATGGTCCAACGGAGCATGTATTCTGTTTGTAACTTTGGTGACCCTTGTATTTGTGATAATTTTTGTTGTGACCCTGCATAAACCATTGTTTCTGGATGTGACTCTTTTGTCTTTCGTAGTCAAAACTCTTAATAATGACTTTTGAACATGAAAAATTAGAAGGTAGTAGTGGATAAATCCATAGAGTGGAGGTGACTCCATCTATGAGGACATACAGTCCATACACCCAGCACACTATCAGATGGAAGTGTATAGTCCAAATGCACACGTTCCTGCGTTAAAAATGGCTGTGTGTATAAGTGGGTGCTGCAGCGACCGTCGGCTGGAACCGAACAAAATCAGCAAGGAAAAATGTCACCAGCACACCGAGGATCACCAATATGGGTCCAAAGGTTTTAATGAACGATCGCATAGTTACAGCAAGGCAATGTTTCGGAGTCTCACAGAACCCCTTCATCAGGCACATGCCTGATGAAGGTGTCCTGTGAGAGTTCCGAAACTTTGCCTTGCTGTAACTATGTGACCGTTCATTAAAACCTTTGGACCCATATTGGTGACTCTTGGTGTGCTGGTGACTTTTTTCCTTACACTTTCAGATAGTTCTCAGGGCTGCAGTTCCTCTGAGCAACACAAGGTGGGGATCTCACTTCTACCCAGACAGGAAGTCTCTATGATAGACAGGAAGTGATGTCAGGTATATATAGGAAGTTCCGGGTGAGAGGTGAGTCCAGAGGAATTAGAGAGGAGACGTTGCCGGAAGTGGCAGCAGAGGAGGTAATAAGATCTTATTTTCTATTTACACCCAGTAATCCCCCCATCATGTCTGTCCTCTTCGTCACGCCCGTCCTCTTCCTCCACCGTCACGCCCGTCCTCTTCCTCCACCGTCACGCCCGTCCTTTTCCTCCACCGTCACGCCCGTCCTCTTCCTCCACCGTCACGCCCGTCCTCTTCCTCAACCGTCACGCCCGTCCTCTTCCTCCACCGTCACGCCCGTCCTCTTCTCCACCGTCACGCCCGTCCTCTTCCTCCATGATGTCCATATCACATCAAGTATATAGAGAAGAGCTGGACCCTGGGGGAATGAGAGAGAGGAGGAGGATGAATCCAATGTTTTCGTGTTCGAGTGCCAAATTTCCAAACCCCACTGAAGTCAATGGAAGTCGAATCTGTCACATCAAAAATGCCCATCCATTCTCTGATCTTCCCCATGTAGGAAGGACTCGTTTGGTCTCTGCTGTCACATTCCCCATCTACTGTGGCTGGGGAAGAAGCTAATGAAGCCCAATCTGCGCTCAAAGGAAGGCAGGAGAGACATCAGGGATCTAAAAGACCCCTGACGTCTCATCAAAGAGAATCTGTTCTGCCAAAATAGGATCACATAGAAAACGTTTTGTCCCCTATATTATTAAAAAAAAAGTTTACTCTAAAAAAAAACAAGTGTAAAAAATTAAAACCCCTGTCACAAAATTTTAAGCCCCCACACATACGAACATACAAAAAACGTCTTTCATTATTATTCCATTGTCAATCGTGATGCCTGCAGATTCACTGAAACAAGGAAACCTGATGGACCCGGCACACAGGATCGATTCCAATGCTGCTCCTCATCAATAGACCGCAACATGAGCCATCAACAGCTATATAAGGGAAGGGGTGAGGGTAATGGTAACATCACTGACCAGATATGGCCATGGCAGTGATGTTACCGCTAGACATTCCCTCTGCTATCCATCCATGTAACCCAATGGTGCTGATAATGCCAGTGGTTGCTAGGGATGCAGTGGGTGCCAGCACCTGTCACCTCCTTAGCAACCATTGGAAAGCTTGTATTCGAGGAAGTGGGAGAAATACAGTTTCTATATAAGAAGTTCTGCTTCCGAGCTGATAAGTGACCCTGAAGGGGTTAAAATACATTTCCAAATGTAAAATTTTACATAAGTATCCCAATGTGACATATTCATCCTAAAATGTAATCATAAAAGTCTCCAGAGTACAGGGATAAAGGCTAAAGCTCAAAGGTTCACAAAGGAGCCTCATACATGGTCCCCCAAAGCTCCTCCTCCAAATGTCCCTCCATCTAGAGTCTGACCTCATAGCTCCTCCTTCCAGTATCCCTCCATCTGGAGTAAACACATTCTAGGACATCACACTGACCTCACAACTTCTCCTTCCAATGTCCCTCCATCCAGAGTCAGCCCATCCTATGACATCACACTGGTGGCCTTAGTTCTTAATTCCATACTGTCCTTCATATTACCTCCTGTCCTCATCCTAATATTGTACAACCAATCCTGATCATTCTCTCATCAATGTTATCTGTCTACAGGGAAACCTTCATAGATGGCAGCACCAATGAGGATGGAGGAGGACCGGAGTCACATGACTGAGAGGATACTAAACCTCACCCTGGAGATCATCTACCTGCTGACTGGAGAGGTGAGGAGGATTCTGTGAGGTCACATGACATCACGCTCATCTCTATTAATAAAACACAGACCTGACCGGAGAGGTGAGGAGGATTCTGGGAGGTCACATGACATCACACAGACCTGATCGGAGAGGTGAGGATTCTGGGAGTCTAACATGATATTCCTATTGGTTCCTCAATACAGAGATTTCCTCTTCTGAAGTCAGGTGATCATATGACCATCACAGTGCCTCCGTGTGACTCCCTAAACCCTGAGACACCCAACATGGAGAAGATTCTAGAAGTCACCAAGAAGATGACGGAGCTGCTGACAGGAGAGGTGAGCGGTGCCGGGAATTCTGGGACATTCTCCAGTAACAGACAAGGGATGTGTCTGGATGGTGACTGTATCATTGTGTGTGCCAGGTTCCTATAAGGTGTCAGGATGTCACTGTCTATTTCTCCATGGAGGAGTGGGAGTATTTAGAAGGACACAAGGACCTCTACAAGGACGTCATGATGGACAATCAGCCGCCCCTCACATCACCGGGTAAGAGGAGAGTTTATTGGAAAGGAGAGAGCAGTACGGAGGCTCCACCTAGATCCCCCATCATCTGATAAACACATAGAAACAATGGATTCAGTCAGTGTGTGTGTTTCCTACAGATGGATCCAGTCATGGGAACTCACCAGAGAGATGTCCCCATCCTCTGTATTCCAGGGATTCCACACAGGAAGGTCACACCATCCCTCACCATCATCAGGTAGATGGATCCAGTCATGGGAACCCACCAGAGAGATGTCCCCGTCCTCAGTATTCCCGGGATTCCACACAGGAGGATCATAATTATACAAAACACAATCAGGTAGATGAGTAAGAATTATTGGAATTGTTTGTGATGATTTGTACATATGCATGGTTTTTTTTTTACAATAAATGTATTATATATTCAGAGTGGAAAACTCAGGGATGATAATATTGTTGTTAAAGAAGAGTATGAAGAGGAGGATGTAGCGTATGGAGTAATGAAGGATTTTCCTGAAGGACATAAGGATCTCTACAAAGTCAGTATGATGGAAGAACCTAATACCAGGAACCCACCAGAGAGATGTCCCCGTCCTCTGTTTTCCCGGGATTCCACACGGGAAGGTCACACCATCCCTCACCATCATCAGGTAGATGGATCCAGTCATGGGAACCCACCAGAGAGATGTCCCCGTCCTCTGTATTCCCAAGATTCCACACAGGAAGGTCACACCATCTCTCACCATCATCAGGTCGGTGGAGTTCAGGGTCACAAACATAAGGTGATGGAACACTGTGGAGACGATGTGTGGACTCTAAAAGATGAGATGTTCTATGCAATCTCACATCATAAATCCTTCTATGTTACAGATGTTATTTTCTGCCATTCTGTTGGTTTAGGGTGAAGATCTCATTATCATAAAAGTTGAGAGTGAAGTAGAAGAGACGTATATGAGGGATGATCAGCAATATATGGAGGAGGCTGGAATGAGGAGGACATTCATAGAGGAGGAAACTCCTACAGAGATCAGCACAGGTGACCACAATATATTCTTATCTTATCTCTGTTCTGTTACCGCCCCCCTCCAGCCCCCATTGGTTCCTGCTCCTCTTGACAAGGCGGTGTAAAAGTAGAAGTGATCTGGGAGGACCAAAGGCCTTTTGAAGAGGGGAAGAGTCCCAGCTGGTTGGGACATCCACAGAGAACATCTGCTCCCTCCTATCTCCCTGATCCAGATGGAATCTTGATGGAAGTGAACTAACCCTCTCCTATCTATTGATGATGTTTTTCTATTTTTCCAGGACCTGCCATGGAGGAACCCTCAAAGGATTGTCTCACTTTATCTCCAGGTTGTAAAATGGAAGAGGAGGACATCCCAGGAGATTGTGACGAAGAAAAGACAATGAGCTCCACTATGGATGGTGGACTTCCCAGTGTGGAGAGACCATGGGATCCCTCTGACTCTGAGCAACCTCGTACTGTGGGGGATGGGGCCAAAACTCAAGAGGAGATCATATTTTCCTGTCGTGAATGTGGGGAAGGTTTTAGCACTGAGCTAAGCCTTTTTATACATCAGATGTCTCACACGGGTGAGAAGCTTCGTTCCTGTTCTGAGTGTGGGAAATTCTTTCTTAACAAATCAGAACTCATCAGACATTACAGATCTCACACAGGAGAGAAGTCCTATTCCTGCCCTGAGTGCGGGAAATTTTTTCTTGGTAAATCAAAACTGGACACACATTACAGATCTCACACAGGGGAAAAGCCATATGTCTGTTCTGAGTGCGGGAAATGTTATCTACGGAAATCAGAACTTGTTATACATCAAAGATCTCACACGGGGGAGATGCCATTTTTCTGCCTTGAGTGCGGGAAACTGTTTCCACAGAAGTCTTGTCTTACTAAACATCAGAGAGTGCACACGGGGGAAAAGCCGTATTCCTGCTCTGAGTGTATGAAATGTTTTTCAGATAAGGCCAGTCTTTCCAGACATCAGAGATCTCACACGGGGGAGAAGCCGTATTCCTGCCCCAAGTGCGGCAAATGTTATTCACGGAAAACAGATCTTGTTATACATCAGAGATCCCACACAGGGGAGAGGCCATATTCCTGTCCTGAGTGCGGGAAATGTTTTTCACGGATGTCCCATCTTTATAGGCATCAGAAATTACACACGGGTGAGAAGCCGTATTCCTGTCCTCAGTGTGGAAAATGTTTTTCACGGAAGTGCAATCTTACTGAACATCAGGTATGCCACAAACGACAGAAGACTGTTTTCCTCCCCTTAGTGCAGGAAGTGTTGTCCACGGAAATCAGAACTTATCAAACATCAGAAATCTCACTCGGAGGTGAAGCTGTATTTCTACTCTAAGTGCCACATAGGAGAAAAGCTCTTTTCCTGTCCTGTGTGCGGGAAATGTTATCCATGGAAATCAGAATCCGTCAAATATCAAAGATCTCGCGGAGGAGAGAAGTTGTATTCCAGCCCTGAGTGCGGGAAATGTTCTTCCACAGAAGTCTTGTCTTACCAAACATCAGCGAACCCACACCACCTTCGAGGTGTATTAGTGTCCTGAATGCAGGAAATGTCTTCTCTATGGATGATATGTTGCCGTACATCCGAGATCTCACACTGGGAAGAAGCACGCCTTGATATACACTTCAGAAAACACGTGACTGAGCGCTCCTCTCATCTTTATCATGGAAGAAACACTTTATAAGGAGATCAGAGATCACTAAAGACTTCAAATTTGTGTCTGGCTTCCTCTGCTAGGAGAGAGAAGGAGGGAGGGGGGGGGGGGTCACTGCTGGTTGGGTCCCTCTAGCAGTGTAGTCTGATCTCCCCTGACCTTCAGCAGAAGCTTCCATGGAGGACATCATGGTGAGAGAGAAGGAAGGGGGGGTCACTGCTGGTTGGGTCCCTCTAGCAGTGTAGTCTGATCTCCCCTGACCTTCAGCAGAAGCTTCCATGGAGGACATCATGGTGAGAGAGAAGGGGGGGGGGGTAACTGCTGGTTGGGTCCCTCTAGCAGTGTAGTCTGATCTCCCCTGACCTTCACCTGAAGCTTCCATGGAGGACATCATGGTGAAAGAGAAGGAGGGGGGTCACTGCTGGTTTGGTCCCTCTAGCAGTGTAGTCTGATCTCCCTTGACCTTCAGCAGAAGCTTCCATGGAGGACCTCATGGTGAGAGAGAAGAATGGAGGGGGGGGGGTCACTGCTGGTTTGGTCCCTCTAGCAGTGTAGTCTAATCTCCCCTGACCTTCAGAAGTCCTCCTTCCCTTTCACATCAGAGTTTTCACTTTCCTGCTTGCCCCTTTCACATTGGAATTCTTAGTTCCCCTTCTTTAAAAATAAAAAATCAGGCACTTTCCAATCATGTGACAACAAATTACGGTGGTCACATGATCACAAGCTCCACCTCCCAGTATCTAAAACCCCTTCAAGAGCCAGGAAGCGCCGGCGCCAAGGGGTTACTTCCAAGGGACTTACATCCGTGTACCAGTCCCCCCTTTTCACATCGGTGTCCCCAGTCCCCCCTTTTCACATCAGTGTCCCCAGTCCCCCCTTTTCATATCAGAGTCCTCAACTACCTCTTCACATAAGAGTCCGCAGTCGTCCATCCTTTCACACCGGAGTCCCCAGTCCCCTCCTTTAACATCAGAGCCCTCTGAGTCTAGGAATTATTTGTCCCTCCCTCACCATGCTCCTTCATTTCTTAATATGTTCTCTTCTTTCCTCCTTTCTGACTTCTTCCCAGTCTGTTGTCCTCACCTTCTCTTTCTCTTTATTTTTTTTTTCGTGTATTTCTTACATTTCTGGAGAACCCTGGAAATGATATGCACATTGTGACGGACCGCCTGGCACCCAGCCTGGGTGTTCCCGTCAGAGAACTGGTTCCTCGGCACTAGGACACAGGACCAAAGTATTATAGCTGGTCATTGCACCCAAAAACTAGGTGACACTTGCTTAGGTGCAACTGGAACGCTTTATTGAACAGAAATACAGGGTTTGTTACACTTCAGAAATAGGGGCAGCCCCCACATGAACAATAAAAACAAATATTACACATTGGGATAAACATCTCACGTTGATTAGATAACGAGGTAAAGTTGACACCATACTAATCCCATGATGTAGGAACCTCCAGGAGGGCTAACCAGCAGACAGAAACAATAGATGAGTCCATTAACATACATTATTTTTGGTCTCTTTCCAAATTCCTATTTTACTCATAATTCCATATGCCATAAGGGATGATCTGTATAATAGTCTCCTGGTATAATCCTCGTTATATTGCCATAATCCATATAATCGCTTTATTGAACAGAAATACAGGGTTTTTTACACTTCAGAAATAGGGGCAGTCCATATAAACGCTTTATTGAACAGAAATACAGGGTTTTTACACTTCAGAAATAGGGGCAGTCCTCACACGAACAATATAAAAATATATTACACATTAGGATAAACATCTCACATTGATTAGATAACGAGATAAAGTTGACACCAGACTAATCCCATGATGTAGGAACCTCCAGGAGGACTAGCCAGCAGACAGAAACAATAGATGACTCAATTAACAATGGGGCAAAGACTCCCTCAAGAGTTGGTTGTAGCCAGCTCAGTGGATTGCTGTAGGAAAGTCCTGGATTCTTTCTTGGATACACAGAATATAACTGGATATAACATTTATAGGGAAAGTTGATCCAGGGAATATCCGATTGCCTCTCGGGTGATCAGGAAGGAATTTTTTCCCTGCAGGAGCAAATTCGATCGTGCGTGCTTTGCTGGGTTTTTTGCCTTCCTCTGGATCAACTGTGGGTGTAGGATTATAACTTTTTTTTTTTTTTTCTATGGTTGAACTGGATGGACTTTTGTCTTTTTTCAGCCAGACTAACTATGTAACAACAGTAAACACATAACGCCTTAACAGAATACAGCAAGAGACTTCAGCATCAGGTTGTTTTGAGTTGATTATATTGACATCTGCTTTAAGTCTAGGAGGAGGGGTTGAAGCAGTCAATGTTGGTTTGGGTACAGAGGTCCCAAATCTGAATCCTGGTCCTCCAGTTCTCAGAGTGTGTTTTGGGGAGATGTAGACTTGAATCTGAAGTAAAACTACTCCAAAGGTCCCCCCAGGCACACACCTCCCAAAGAATAGAGCCTATTCAGATGCTCTGGCCCATGGTCAGTTGGCAAGAGGCTAGTCATCTCCAAAAGTCCCTGTCCTGTTGGTTAGATCTGTCACATACATTATTTTTGGTCTCTTTCCCAAGTCCTATTTTACTCATAATTCCATATGCCATAAGGGGTAATCTGTATAATGGTCTCCTGGTATAATCCTCGCTATATTGCCCAAAGACCTGGATTCTGGTCACTCTTGTGGCCTCAAAACATTTGTATGGAGATACGAGTTGATGGCCCATTAGTGCATATATTCTGTTTTTTGGTGAACCTTTTATTATGATCGTCTATGTTGTGACCTTGTATGAACCATTGTGTCTCTTTTTTTGTTTTTGGTATTGAAATCTCTCAGGGCTCGTTTACACTTGCTTCAAAATGTGGCATTGGACGCGATTTTTTAAAGCACTCTGAATGTCAATCAAAGCTCCTCCCACTAAATAAAATGGGCTTTTGGAGGGGACTGCAGGCTAGCCTCCTGCATACTGACCATAGGCCCTGGCATCTGAGGGGGCTCTGTTGACACGTTGTGTTTGCTTTGCATCGCTTCAACAGTTGTACCCCATGTCACTTTCTTGGTGCTTCAAAGCATCTCTGTGATGGGAGTCACTTTGGGTGGGGGGCCCATGGAACCCAGCTCACTTTGCAGAGGTGGGGAGAACCCTGTCTCAGCTCCCCATATCCCTCTTATGTGTAAGTCACCCTGTGCCTGTTAGGGGTACAGGGTGATCTGTCCCAATATTGTGTAGACATGTCTAGGAGATAGGTGGGGTGGGAGTTGTGGATTGTTTGGTGTTTGTGTGGCTGCATCCCATTGTTGTGTGTCTGGCTTGGGAGCAACCTATTATGGGATGTATGTGTCTGTGTATTGGCTTAGTCAGGGGTGTCTCCAGCAGCCCTCCCTCTTGATGGGACTGTCTTCTGGTGTGAAGTTTGAATACCTGTGTGTCTCTTGTTACTAAATGTAAATTGCCCCGCCCTCTGTCAATATGCAGGGAGGGGGGATTGTCCCCTGAGTGTATATATCTTGTATCTGTGTTCAAAATAAAGTAGTCTATTTCCTGGTTTACTTCAAGACTGGTGTTGTCTAGTCTTGTATGGCTGGGTGTGGTGTCTATTGTCAGTGTTCGGATGGGGAAGCGGTATTCTAATGGAAGTACTCAACCGCACTCTGGGATCAGTTCCGTTAAATTCTCCAAAGACTCTACAGGAGTCTATGACAACACTGAATAACAGCACTTGCAGCTTTTGAGTTGCTTTATTTCAGCTTTAGCTTCACATTGTTTTGGAGGTATTTCAGGTATGAGATATCCCAGGATGCACTGGGAAACCACCAAGCGAACTGGAAAGACATCATCAGTAGTCACTTCCGGTTCGTGTGTATACATTCTGGGAGTGTCTGGTGTAGACGTCACATCTGGTGTGTAGCGTGGAACAGCAGGAAGGGGAGCGGGGTCCGGAGCGAAGCTACTAGCAGACGTGGTGTGTAATGTAGGAACGCTATAGTGGAAGGTGAGCAGAGACTGAAGAGGAAGGTGGATCAACAAACTAAAGGATCAGCAGAGCTGGGGGTTACTACTGAGCGGGGGATCAGCAGAGTTGGGGGTTACTACTGAGCGGGGGATCAGCAGAGCTGGGGATACTACTGAGTGAGGTATCAGCAGAGTTGGGGGGTTACTACTGATGGGGGATCAGTAGAGCTGGGGTTACTACTGAGTGGGGGATCAGCAGAGTTGGGGTTACTACTGATGGGGGATCAGCAGAGCTGGGGTTACTACTGAATGGGGGATCAGCAGAGTTGGGGTTTCTACTGAATGGGGGATCAGCAGAGGTGGAGGTTACTACTGAATGGGGGATCAGCAGAGATGGGGGTTACTACTGAGTGGGTGATCAGCAGAGCTGGGGGTTACTACTGAGCGGGGGATCAGCAGAGCTGGGGAGTACTACTGAGCGGGGGATCAGCAGAGTTGGGGGGTACTACTGAATGGGGGATCAGCAGAGCTGGGGTTACTACTGAGTGGGGGATCAGCAGAGCTGGGGTTA